ATACACAGACTCACGCACAGACACACACACACACACACATACACAGACTCACGCACAGACACACACACATACACAGACTCACGCACAGACACACACACACACACACGAGGGGAACCAAAAAAGTAAGGCGCAAATTGTAATTTAAATGAGGTATTTTTTTTTCTCCTAATTTTTAATTTCAAATATTTTCAACAATTTATTAGACTCATTAGAAGCTATGAGAGATGGTAAAAAAAAAGTGTAAGTTAGCAAATTAAATTAGCCAAGCAATATTTGTAAATCATTCCAATTCTTGGTTAAATTACTAGCCTTAACAAATTCGCATAATTTAGTTAATCAGATTTAAAGGAGAAGCAAAAAAAAGAAAAAAAAGAGGGAAGAGGAGAAAGGATGGAAAATTTTATCAAATGAAAGATCAAAGAACATTCATTTTTCTTATTTAAATCATTCCAATATTTTCTAAAAGTTTTTTGGTTTTTTAAATGTATATATAGATAAGAAAGACAAAAAAAAGAAACTTATTTAGCCTAAATATTCTAATTTAATTATTTAAAATGGAAAAAAAAGTAAAAGATATTGAAAGGTATGGAAAATAAAAACTTCTTTTTAACGATAAAAAATTTAATTTAATGATAAATATTTTAAAAGGATTTAGTGATTGAGTTATTTTGCTTATAGATTTATATTATATTAGAATAGATATATGGAATTAAAATTTTAAAATTAAAATCGACCATATTCTAGAAGTTTTTAGTTCAGGAAAAAAAGTAGAGACGGAAATAATTTAACGCCAGGTTCATATTTGGATAAATGTTCTCGGATATCAAAATTATTGGCCTTTATCATTTATTATCATTATCATCGCTAACAAATATCATTCTTTCATCATTATCATTACCATATCATTTAATTATCATTATAATTCTAACCCTACTATTATTATTGTTATCACCAATGTGATAACATTTGTCTTTATCATTTATTATCATTATCACCATTATCAAGTACCGTTCTTTCATCATTATCATATCATTTAATCATCATTATAATTCTAACCCCATTACTATTATTATTATTATCACCAATATGATAACAGTTGCTGTTGCAACACTACCACCAACATCATCACAATCATCATTTTCAATCATATTACTCTTACTATTTTAACTGTACTATTATCATCATTATCATAATGTTCATCATAAATAACCATTGCTATTTTGTGATCATCATTGCCCTCATAATCTAAATTTCTTTCTGCAGTCATCATCGCCATATCATTATTATCATCATCATCACAAGCATCATCATCATCGGCCATTATCACAGTTATCAGTTGTTGTCATCATCAGCAATTACCATACCCTTCTCTTGTCAACTCCTTAAATCTGGGCCAAACAAAGCAACTATTATTATTATTTATTAAGCAATTTGGTTGACTTTAAATTGATCCAGATAACAATCAAGGTTAACAAATTTTTAACTCATAAATTCAGGTTGTTTAAATTAAAAAGTCAATTGAATGTAAATTTAAATCATAAATAAGAAATGGTAATAAGAGTAATGAATAATAATATTGATAATATTATGATAGCAATAACATTGAAGCGTTAATAACGATGATGATAATGATGATAATCAGAAAAAAAAACAAAAATTGTAATTTAAGAATTTTTAACATTATAAAAATAATATGACAATTTAAAATGATAGAAAATGTAAGGAAGAAAGCGAAACATTACAGCTTTGAAATGTGTTGCGCAATAATAAGCGATAATTCAAATATGCAAATGAAATTTAAAAATTTTATCAATAAGAATTATCCTATTAAAAAAACTGATATGATAACAATAATAATGTGAAGAAAACTTTAAGCAATAGTCAAACAACAGTTTTTATTTCATAGTTCTTTTTATTTTTAACAATTAAGTGATAAAATGATAAATGTGATAAAATTATGGATAAGCGAAGTTAAAATTATAATAACAAAAACGTGCAATTACTGAAGTTATACATTTTACTTAAGTTGTACAACTACAAAAAAAAAAAAAACTTAAGTTGTACAACATACGTATTATTTAATGGAAACATTGGATTAATTAGATACGTAACACTACTTATCTAAATTATATTACATTAGCTATAATATCGATTTTTTTTTCTTTTGGTTTGATATTTTTAATTACTACAATTAATTATTTGCTATAGGAATACCTGTGGAAATTTATTTGGAAAGCATAACGGAAAATAAAATTCCAATATTACAACAAAAAAAAAAAAAGAAAAGAAACTGCAAAATTAAATTAAGCGCTTTTCCATTACAATATTAATTAATTAATGGACAAGAATTTTTATTCCATTCGTTGCGCTATAAATTGCTTTAAACGAAAAAATATTTAGCATATTTCTATAAATGATTCTTTCATGATTAATGCAATGAAGAAAAAAAAATTCGATATCGAAATACTCGAAAAAATTTCCCTTAAAATGAAAAAGAAAATAAAAATACAAACTTTTCCATCAGTGCATATATATGTACATATATATATATATATATATAATTATTAATAATTATTTTTCTATCACAACTTAATTATTCGTTTTTGAATAAATAATTTAATCACATTACGCACAATAACAAGTTTTGCAATAATAAATCAGCGAATTATTGCTAATTTATTGAAGTACACTGATAACATTAGTGATAACAGCTATCTTATCATTCAATAAATCTTTGAGAAAATATCTAATTTATCGTCATTTGATCAACCAGAAAAAAATTAATAAATTGGAAAAAAGAAAAAATCTTCGAAAAAAAAACGAATTATTTGCAATTTTTTGTTTTTTTTTTTCAACGAAAATGATTTTTACCCATAAAATAATAATGATAATTTTATCATAATTTTTTTTAAATTAGTAATGCCTTAATGAAGAATATAGAATGACTTAAATACTTGAATCTTTAATATATATACATAATTATAGATTTATTAAATGGCAAGTCTAAAGTGCATAGAAAAACACATTAGGATACTGTATTGTTCGTTTTTTGGATAGAATGTATAATTTTTGTAATTAATAATATTTGAATAAAGAATGTAGAGTAATTTAAGTACTTAAATAGTTTAATGTATGCATATATAATTATCGATTTATTCAAATGATAAGCCTAAAACGTCCAGCAAATGGATTACGATAATGTATTACCCTTTTATAGATAAAGTGTAAAAGCTTGCCGAATATTATTTAATGCTTCATTTATTTATGAAATGTAAAAGAATTAAAATATATGAATGGATGGAAATTATAAATAGGCTTAGGGTCGATGACTTTTGGCCATAACGAAAAGCCTTAACCCATTGGGAATTATAGATGTGTATGTGAGATTTGGCCCATTTTGAAGAGTCCATTTGGCTTTACACAAAGGATTATGCAAATGGTCTCAAGTGTTGAAATTGATGATCATTTTGTATGCGATAGGAAAATGACGAAAATTTTAATACTTGACCTAAATTTATGCAAATTTCACACTTTTGAGGACAAGGACAAAGACAAGGACAAAATTTCAAAATTCAAACAAACATTTCAGTCATTCGGAAAAGTTTTCACTTTCCGGTTGTACAAAGAGAAAACGGAATTTTGAATTTTGAAATCGGAAAGAAAAAGTGCATATATATGTTAGATAAATGCATTAGGGAATTGAAGGATAAAAAGAAAAAAAAGGAAAGTAAAATGACAAAAATTTCTTTTCTTTTTTTTTCGTCCTTGTTTTTTTTAAAAAATTTCTTTTTTTTTTTGAGCAAATAAAAGCATATGCTAATTTCTAATCAATAATTTCTCATCCTCAACCTTATTGATTTTTTTTTGGAAGTTTTTAAGTTTTTTTTTTCGTTGTAATTTTTATTAAATATATAATTACAAAAATAATTATATCATTTCCTTTTCTTTTTTTGCATTGCATAAAATGTTTCTGCTTTTTTTTTGCCCTTTTATTATTGTTTTCTTGTCTTTTCTTCCATTTTTATTTTATAAAAATAAAACTTAATTCAATATTATTAATCGTATTTTAGCGCAAATGTAATTTCGGAAACAACAAAATAACCAAACATTTGTTCCATTTTTGATAAAAATATAATTCTGATGTAATTAAATTATCAACAAACTATCTCGACATTTTTTGGATAAATACAATCCCAGCATAATGGAATTATCAGCATTTTCGGGTAAAGATAATTTCGATATAAAAAATTATCATCAATTATTTCAATATTTTCGGGTAAATATAATCCTGGTACAATAAAATTATCAACATTTTTGGATAAATATAATTCCAATATAATAAGATTAACAACGTTTACTCCATTTTCTTTTTTTTTCCCCCCTTTAAAAGATTAATGATCAAGTAGATTAATTATATAAATTCGGTCATATATGAGTAAATAAGGAAAATCAAATAGTTTTAATTAATAATATGCCTAATATGATCAATTGGAATTTAAAAGACTAACGAATTTAATCAATACGTATAGTGTGTTAACCCATTCTTATAAATACAAAATGGATATTAATATTACAAAACAATTAATTGCGTAAATTTTATATCTTGAATTTTTTTATTTTCAGGAAATTTTAAAATTTTAAATGATTAATTTAAAATTTTTGCCTTTCATCTTTCTCATTCAAGAAATTTTTGTTATTTACACAATTAGTGAAACATATTGAATGAATTCATTTGATTTGTATGAAAATGACACGATAAATTAGCACCAGAATGAATAATATAAAAGAATCAAAGTTGAAATCAAGAATTTGATTATGAGTTACCAGAATTTTCTGGTTTTGGACATATTTTAAATTCCTTATTTATTGATCTATAAGTTTTGAAGTTCACATTAGCACAAGAAGAAAAATGTGCAAGAGAGACAGAGTGAGAGAGAGAGGGAGAGAAAGAGGGAGGGGAAGAGAAGAAATGAAGAGAAAGGTAAGGGAAGGAAAAAGAAATGTCACGTTAAAACAATTTCTCTATCCATTAAATCATTAATATAATGCAAAATTTGGTGACCTCGAATATTAATTAAAAATCATTAATAAGTATAGCATAAATATCCAACGATAAACTAAATATAGATGAAAAAAAAAAGAAAAACTGTTGAGTATTGCAGTAGCAGATAAAGAGAGTAAGGATTAAACATTTCTTGACTCTAAATAAGGGAAAAAAAACATCACGAAACCTCTAAAATTCTAGTAATATTCGAATTTTTAAATTTCTAAACATAATATGAGCAGTAAATAATACGGAATTCAACAACAATCAAGCATAATTAATTAATAAACGAGATTTTAAATCCGGAAAATTTGCACTCCATGATGTTTCCAGACAATTTGGCAAATCATCAATGTTAGCTTCTGAGCAAAAATCAATACGACGAAAGTATTTCGATACTATATTATCATCGATATTGTTATCATTTGAAGAAAATATTATAAATTTTATCGAACTAATAATAGTACTAGCATTAGCTTCCATATGAACAAATTCAGCGATCCATTCACCGGATGTTGTCTCATTTGAAAATAATTCTGTATACTGGTTGCCATATATGGAATCATATGAATTCACTTTTGCCTGTTTAACAACGACATCTGAGGGATCCTTCCATTTCACCATTATTTCAGGACTAGTGAAATTTTGGTGAACAGATGTTGATAACGACTCGATCCTTCGCCATTGCAATTTTGCATAAATTGTATCTTCCTGAATGTATGACCGAAAATATTACTAATTGATAACACTCTTCGTATCACTAATCTAACAGAGAGAATTATCACAAATGACTAAAGAAATAATAATGGTAAAATGATAACTAATTATGCATGGAAAGCAATTAGATCAGTAGAAAATTTTCATCTCGATTAAAAGAAAATTAAAAAAGAAAACCTCTGATAAAACATTATGATATTTCCGGAAAATTTCTTCTTTGAAATCGAAATCAGAACCAATTTCAAGACTTTTCAATTCATAACCATCCGTAATTATATCCATAAATTTTACTGGATTGATTGATTCCACTAGCACTTGGATAAATTCCACTTCGTTATCATCACATATGTATGATGATCTGTATATGTTTTGAATGTGTGCAACATCGTTTTCTTTGTAAGCAATAATCGATGAAAGATTTCCAAATATACAATTTCGACTCTTTTGATAAGGCAATAATGTACGAGCAAAACTCTCCAATAACACTAGAAAACTTAATTTTTACCATATATAGATTCAAACTTTCTAATGAAAATCTCTAAAACACCTATTCGTCATTCTAAGCAAAACGAACAAACGATGAGCTATCAGAAGCGTTCCATTCCGCGTGCTAAGTATGAAATGAAAAGGAACTTAGTGCCTAAAATTATGCTATTAGCAATTTTAACTGGTTGTCTTTTTTTATGGAAGAATTATAACAATTTCAATACCCAAAAGTTTAGAACTGAAAAGTTGAAAATCATCTAAGAAATACTTTATAGAATCAATTTGCGTTACCATCCAAGATTTAATGCACTAAATTAACGGAGCAATACCTTACTGCAGGATAACATCGATGGAACAATCAAAAGACGGATTTAAGGGAATAGTTTAGAATAAGTAAATAATTGCGACCCTTTTTCCTTGATACATAAATGGTATTACAGTGGTAAATTGTATGGAACAACAGGAAAAATTCCTAATATCATTATTAATTCTATCGTGAAGAAACTAACAAATCTTCCAATTATTTAGTAAAAATCGCTTATGAGAAAAAAAAAAACGGTCTGAGTATTACTTGATTGATCAAATGGTGATAAATAAACATTTGTCCAAGATTTGTTAAATGATGGATGACTGCTATCACTGATAGTATCAGTAAATCGTAATGCTTGCGCCTCAGCGATTGCAATAGCTCGCTGACTTATCATTGGATCAAATTTGCGACCGAAAAATGCCACCCTATTCTTCACAGCCTGCAAAATTATTTGCCATTTAAAAAATTCCTAATTCTAGCATTTTCAAGTTAAGGAAACTATTTGATTACATGTCTCGATGAAATCATAATTAAATTTATACAAAGCAAAAACCTCAATTGAAAATTTCGAGACATCCGATGATCGAAAAGCGAGAGGTGAACAACCACACCAATCGACAATCTTTTTCAATCCTGCACAGCGACAACCCTGTCGACGTTTCCAATTTGTCAGATGTAAATTTCCTTTTACAACTTGCATGCAAAATTTCGAATTAGCTGCTAGCTGCAATCAGCTGCTTTGCTCCTTCATATAAGTATTCCAAAGTATCCACATTTAATCAGCGGACAAATTTACCTCTTAACAGTATTCTGACAGTTAAGATTATTAACAAATAAATTCCTCCTCAAAATTGTGTAAAAAAGTCCAGAAACTGATAGGAGGATAATTGTGATATACCTATGGAAGTTATTTCCAAATATTGCTAAAATTATTTCACGTAAAGCTTTTCCAAAATTCATTCATGTTAGCTGGGGAGAGCTGACACAAAAGAAATTAATTTCTTGACAATTACTTTTATGAATATTATAATCTGGAAGCATCAGTTCTGAGGGTAATAAAAATTCACCTACAGTATGAAAGAAACTTTCAACTGGTAGCAGAACATTGTCGAAAAATTTTCGAAAATTTAGGGGTAATTCCTCATCGGATAAGGCATATTCGGCAAAATCTCGGCTGATAACAATCCAATCAGAGCCACCATCCAAGCGAATCGAACTTGGGAATTTTGTCCTACATAAACTATCAACAGTTTTAATCGCGTTTCCGTACGATTCATTCTTTTCTAATCATTCCTAATTATCCAAAAATGATATTAAGGAGCTAGTAAAATAACGGATATTTTTTTTAAGTGTTCCTCATAAAAAAAAGTGGCATCTCTTACTTACTGTAATGAGATTATTACTTAAACATTTATCAAATGTGCTCGATCAATTCCATAATTTTGAATTTCGATTTCTAAACAGCAAAATAAATGAATAACCGTTTCATTAGGAGCCACATCCGATTTTCACATTGCATAAAAACATATTCCAGTCCTTGCTTTTGAATGAACCGTGCAGTATCATAACCATGGTTGCTTAGAAAGATTCGCCCTTTATTTCTACAAATTCATCAAATTAATTTCAATCTTGAGTATATTAATGTAGAATGATCTAATCATTACATATACATAAAAAAAGAAAAAAAAGGAAAACCAATCCAACTAAGCAAGTTGAATTTGCATTGTTTATGTATTACATTTTAAAGCAAGAAGAGTTTTTCAAGAAAAATTTATTAAGTATAACATAAGAGTAGTATTGAACTAATAAGAATGAAGAAAGAATTACTTCGCCAAATGAAATTCTAATTCAACCATTGAAAGGATCGGAAAATTGCTTTCACTTAAATTCAACATGAAATCCCAATTGTTCCATTTCAGAGAATACAAAGCTGTTTTTAACACTTCCAAAACCATAGATAATAATGTAGCACCTGCCCATATCGTTGCATAACGTTTTTCCATCAAATAAACATTCCCGTAACCTGCCTTACGAACAGTGTCAACAAGTTTCTTCATCTCTGTAACGAAAGAAAAAAAAAGATTTGAAAAGGAATTAGCTCTTAGAGGGTAAAGAATTCAAAAGTTAAGATATTCAATATTCTAAACTAAATTTACATTTTCTAAATCTTTAGATGATATACACGAGCAAATCCTGTTGCTCTAAAACCTCACCTACGATAAGCTAAAATAAGAAATTCAGAGAGAGTAAATAAATATTGAAGTTTCAAAAAAAGGGTTTTAAGGAAATCATTAACAATCTACAACGCAAAGATTCTAAAAAAATACCCTCAAACATGTACTGCTGTCGGCTGTCAACATGTATTATATAATAATGTTTCGGTGAATAAATAATCCGAAATAGACGGTTCACCTAAAAAATGCTTCAATCAATAAATTTAAGAGCTGATGCAGAATTCTTGCAAAATACAAAAGGATGCAAATATGAACTTTGAAATATGTAAATCTGTGATTGTTTTCCAAGAATGAATTCCCCACAGATTTCTTATGCTTAGAAGTACTGCAAATTCTTTTCACTATATAATCCACCAACTTCGAGACTTTCTCTCTGCTCACCTGCCGAGCATTTCGTCCATTCAATTGTAAAAGAAATAAAATCTGCACAGCTGGTAAACTGTCATCTGGTTCAGTATAATTTATTACCAAGAGAGGCTTTTCTAGAAAAAAAAAAAAAAAGGAAAAAAGGTTTTTGCAGAAAAAGGGACAAAGACAATGTCATAATAAAATATAGATGGAGCTTTTCATAACGAAAAGAAAAATTAACTATCACTCAACACACACTTAACAATATATATATATATATATATATATATATATATATATATATATATATATATATATATA